GGAAGGAAGGAAGGAAGGAAGGAAGGAAGGAAGGAAGGAAGGAAGGAAGGAAGAACAGAACTGGAAGGGACCTTGGAGGTCTTCTAGTCCAACCCCCCCTGCTCAAATAGGAGGCCCTGTACCTTTTCAGACAAACGGCTGTCCAATCTCTTTTTGAAAACCTCCATTGACGGAGCAGCCACCACTTCTGGTGGCAAGCAGTTCCACTGCTTCATTGTCCTCGCTGTTAGGAAGTTTCTCCTTAATTCTAGCTCTCTTCTCTCCTTGATGAGTTTCCATCTGCTGCTTCTTGTCCTGCCCCTCTGGTGCTTTGGAGAATACCTTTACCCCATCTTCTCTGTGGCAGTTCCTCAAATACTGGAATGCTGCTATCATGTGTCCTTATTCTTATTTTTATTCTTATTTTTATTCTTATATTTTTTATTTAGTTCTTATTTTCTCTAGACTTGCGAAACACTGATAGTGTTACCTAGTTGGGCCATAAGATGTCTGGAAAAAAAAAAAACCTCAAGCTCAGAGAGCACCAAGGACCCTACAGTCCTTCTCTTCCTCCTCCCCTCCTCTTCCTCCTCCTCCCTACAAATCCCTCTCCCTTCTAGCACTGGTGACGTACCCTAGTTGGGGTCATGAAACATCTGCAAGAAAACCACCCAGCTTAGGGAGCACCCTACAGTTGTCCTCCTCCTCCTCCTCCTCCTCCTCCTCCTCCATTCCCTTCTCTTCCTCCTCTTCCACTCTGCCACCCTCCTTCCCTCCCACCGTAGCACTGATGATGTTACCTAGTTGGGTCATGAAATGTTTGCAACAAAACAACTCAAGCTCAGAGTGCGTCAAGGACCCCACAGTTCTCCTCCTCTCCCATCGCTTCTCCTCCTCTCCACAACTCTCCCTCTCTTCTAGCCCTGATAATATTATCTAGCTGGGTCGATAAAACGTCTGCAAGAAAACCCCCCCAGCTCAGAGAGTACCAAGGACCCCGTAAATACAAAGTCACTAAGTGTGGTTCCCCACTAAACCTTTTGCAGAGTTGCTCAGTGGAGAATGATGGTGTCAGGCCTGCAATTATATTCCTTTTAGAATTTTGGCCTGCCACAGACTTTCTCTTATTTCATTGTGCTGTTTCATTAGTATAGTTGATGGGAGGGGGGAATAGACAGGAGTAGGATTGCGGAATGTGTGGTTTTCATTCTNGGAGAACAGAGCTGGGAAGCAGGTTAACGGGGGGGGGGGGTAGGGAGGGAATGGAGATTTTTACAGTATCCTTCCCCTGCCCCGCCCACCATGCCATGCCCACAGAACCAGTATATATAATTTTGAAAGTAAAGAAAAATAATGTGAAAAAAAAGCAAAGAAAGGAAGAATATAGAAATAGAGGGGTGGACTAGAAGACCTCAAATGTCTCCTCCAGATCTATTCTGAATTGGCAACTTCATTGGACTTCAATTTTGCCTGGGGATTGTGGGAGTGGTTGGGAAAGGCCAGTGGGATAGTCTCTTAAAGATCCTTCATGGCTCACACTGTTTCTCCTCTCTTCCCTCTTTCTTCTCTCTCTCTCTTTTCTCTCTTCTCTCTCACTTTTCTCTCTCTCTCTTCTCTTTCCTATCACTCTTCTCTTTTTCTCTCTCATCTTTCTCTTTTCTACCTTTTCCCTCTCTCCCCATTTCCCTCTCTTCTCTCTCTTCTCTATTTTTCTGTTTTCTCTCTCTTCTCTCTTCCCTCTCTCCTCTCTCTCCCCTCTCTCTCTTCCCTCTTTCTTCTCTCTCTCTCTTTTCTCTCTTCTCTCTCACTTTTTTTATCTCTCTTCTCTTTCTATCTCTCTTCTCTTTTTCTCTCTTCTATCTCTCTTCTCTTTTTCTCTCTCATCTTTCTCTTCTCTACCTCTTCCCTCTCTCCCCATTTCTCTCTCTTCTCTCTCTTCTCTATTTTTCTCTTTTCTCTCTCTTCTCTCTTCCCTCTCTTCTCTCTCTCTCCTCTCTTCCCCATCTCCTCTCTCTCTTTTCTCTGTCTCTTCTGTTCTCTCTTTTTTCTCTCTTCTCTCTCACTTTTTCTCTCTCTCTTCTCTGTCTCTCCTATGTCTCTCCTCTCTTTTTCTCTCATCTTTCTCTTCTGTATCTTCCCTTTCTCTCTCTTCTCTGTCTCTCCTTTTTCTCTCTCCTCTCTTCCCTCTCTCTTCTCTCTTTTTCTCTCTCATCTTTCTCTTCTCTCTCTCTTCCCTCTCTCCCCCTTTCTCTTCTCTGTCTCCCCTCTCTTTTTCTCTCTTCTCTCTCTCTTTTCTCTCCTATCTCTCTTTCTCTCTCTCTCATTTTTCTGTTCTCCCTCTCACTCTTTTTCTCTCTCTCTCTCTCTCCTCTCCCCTCTTTCTTTTACTGTCTCATCTTTCTCTTCCCTCACTCTCCCCTTTCTCTCTCTCTCTCCTCTCTCCCTACCTCTCTCCCCACTCCTTCCCTTCTCTCTCCCCAATCAGAGAATGGCGAATGGGAAATTATTTACCGCCCGGCTCGTAAAAACATCAACTGGCTTGTTCCTCGAGACAGCAACAAACATCAGGACATCACCTTCTACCTCATCATTAAGCGCAAACCTCTCTTTTACATCATCAACATCGTCATTCCCTGCATCCTCATCGCCTTCATGATCATCCTTGTCTTCTACTTGCCGGCTGACAGTAAGCAGATCTTTTCAGCCTCTTAGATTTCCTGCCAAGGTCCAGTTAGGCCGATCTATCTACAGGGAGTCCTCGACTTACAACAGTTCATTTAGTGACTGTTCAAAGTTATGATGGCACTGAAAAAAGTGACTGTGTAGGACCTCTTTTCACCCTTTGGACTGTCGCACCATGGCCAGGTGATGAAAATTAGGATGCTTGGCCACTGATTCACACTTACGGCAGCAATTGATTCGCATTTATGACGTGTGAGCCCCTTTTGGTATCTTCTGACACGCGAAGTCAGTGGGACAGCCAGCTTCGCTTAAAAACAGTGTTATTAACTGAATAACGGCAGTGATTTACTTAACAACAGCAATGGGGTTGCAAAGGAGATGGGTGTGGATGGATTCCCAAAAGGCGATAAATCTAGGAAGCGAAGAGGAGGTGTCAAAAATTGGTGGGGATGTTCTGAGGTTAAATTCTCACCTTGCTTTTCAGGTGGGGAGAAAATGACTTTGGGTATCTCCATCCTCTTGGCTCAGTCTGTATTTCTGCTGCTGATTTCTCAGCGCCTCCCGGCCACCTCCTTCGCCATACCCCTCATTGGCAAGTAAGTCTCCCATATATATGTGTCACAACCCCTGGTATGCCCAAATATGGGAGGGAGCATACTGCTTCCCATTTCTGACTTTCGGCTCACCCTAGGAGCCATCCAGGCAGAAAGGCATTTTTTTATGTTGCCTTTGTTACATTTGTGTTGCATTTGTGCTGATAAATAAATAAAGGGAGACTAGTATAGATCTATTTCAAGCTATTTAGCTCTCATGAGAGCTAAATAGTTTGAAATAGATCTATATTAGTCTCCCTTTATTTATTTATCAGCACAAATGCAACACAAATGTAACAAAGGCAACATAAAAAAATGGCTTTCTGCCTGGATGGCTCCTAGGGTGAGCCGAAAGTCAGAAATGGGAAGCAGTATGCTCCCTCCCATATTTGGGCGTACCAGGGGTTGTGACACATATATATGGGA